TAAATAAAAAAAAAAAAAAAAAAAAAAAAAAAAAAAAAAAACACAATATAGTAATTTAGTAAAGTAAATAAGTTGTTATTTTTTTAAATATCAGATTGTAAATTTAAAATATACTAAAGATAAAAATTTAAAAAACTATTTGTATTATACAATCAAATTTTTCTATAATTACACCTTTCAGAATAAAGATTTATGTGTTTATAAAAATATTTTTACTAAGATGTATTTATAAAAAGGTTTTTTTAATATATTTATATATAATTGGTTTCTAAATAAATATGCTTATAAAAAGGTTTTTTATAAGATGTGCTTATAATAAGTATGACTATAAAAGAATTTAACTGTATATAGTAATTATTTTCTATTAATTAAATAAAATAAAATATCTATAACTAATAATTTTAACTGAGAAAAATTTTCTTAATTAGTTAAACAAATTGAAATATTTTATACTAACTAATTTAATTAGTTAAAATTATTTTGCACTTTTTTTTTAAAAAGTCTTAAACTTTTATAAAATTTTTATTTTGTTTTTATATTTATTTATTTTATTTTTTAGATTTTTTCAAAATTTTTTCTTATTTTTTATTTTTTTATTTAATTACTAATTTTTAACTAGTTGTACAAATTAACTAATTAAAATTTTGCTCAATTAGTTATTTAAAATTTATTTAGTTTAGGTTAATTAATTAATTATAGTTTAACTAATTTAAATTATTATTTATATTATAGTTATATTAATATAACTAACTGATTATAAAACATTTATATAATATTAGTTATTTAAAAAAATAAATTAGTACTAGACAATGTAAATCTAAAATAAGTCTTTGTAGCTATATAAATCTGTAAAACTAAAAAAATAGAAACTTATTTAAAAAAAATACTAAAATATTAAAGATATATTCAAAATTTAATAAGTATTATATTCTTTAATTTATATTACTAAAATAAATTTGACAATATAAAAATTATTAAATATTATTTACCAAATTATAAAAAATTAATGCTTATATGTTTTTTTTATTTTTTTAATTTTTATATTAAATTTGTTTTTTTAAAATTAGAACTTTTTTTATAGTATTATATAATACAAAAGCTTATAACCAAATATCTTAGTAAAGCTATCTTATATTAAAAAATACATTTAATTATAAATATATTTTTGGTATCTAATTTAAGTAGTTTGCTTATTTATAGATTCTATACTAGTTGTTATATTTGCAATTTAACTATAAGTATTGCTTATTTAAACTCTAAATATTATAATTTTTACTGTATTATTAAATTATCTTTAATATTAATATTAATCAAAAAGTCTAAATACTTACTTATATTCTTAAAATGCCTATTATGTTTTATATAATTTATTCTTAAAACATTATTACTAAAACTTTTTTATCTTATTTATAACTAATTTAGTTTTAAGTTTTATAAAATTTATATAATTTTAGTAGCCTTTTTTTATAATCTTATTAATATCTATCTAACTACTCTTGCAAGTTCTTTTATATTACTAATTTAGTTAGCTTTGTATAATGTAGCTTCATATTTGAATTAATTAGTAACTAGATTGATGAATCTTTTATTTAAAAGCTTTTGTTTATATAGATTATTTACTGTAGGTTTTATTTTTCAGATTAAAATCTTTATAGATACTATTATCAAAAGTTATACAATTTTTCTATTTAAAATTTTTAAAAAATTTTTTATCTAAATATATATTTTTAGATTTATTTGTATAACATTATACATTTCTAAAGTTATTTTTAATATAACCAAAATTACAAGATCTACAAACTTTAGATTACATATAAGTTGCTAAAATATGACTATTTTTTAAAATTCTGTTATTAATAAAATTTGAATATTGAACTTACTATTTAAAGAATGATAATCTGACTATTTTACTAGGATTATTATTCTTATTATCTATTTTTTATTTTAATAACAATTTTATTTTTTATATTTGTATTTTATTTTTTTATTTATTTTTTAATTTTAAAAAAAATACTTGTGATTTTATAATCTTTATTAATACTTATAACATACAAATACATAAAAAGATGAAGTGTGACGATCTAGTGAAGTGGATAGGTTGTCAACCCTCAAGTGGCAGGTCTAAGGTTCAATTCCCATAGACAACAAATTTTGAAAATTATACTTGTGTTACAGTAACTGTCTCTTGCTGATCGGTTGGGTTTTGGGCATCTGTAATCTTAGGTACATTAAGTCAGATCCCACCTGATATTGAAAGCTCGGGGCATCTATGCGAAGTATAATGTTACATGATACATGTATATAGAAGAATGTAAAACTGATGTCATATAAGACTTCAGGCAAACCCACGATAAGACCACTGGGTGTAGAAGGCTAAGAAACCGAAAAGACGAAAACTTACCTAGAAATCCCAAGTAAAGAGATAGAACAAACTTTCGATGGTGCTATTGAACTGATGGAAGCCCATAAAACACCTTCATAAGAACTGTCAGATAAACCAGATGACAAAGATGTGTAGAGGAGCATATGACCAACCAGACCACCAGAATCGTCGGAGGAAAAGGATACATAAATATACCATATCGGGCTATCTGAATTGAGAGTCTGAGGAGTCAGTTAGTTCTAAGTTGTGGCTAGTAGGGAATGATGAAGAAGAAGTCAGAAAGATGGGTACCAGGGTTTGGGTGAACTTTACAAGAGTAATAGCAGTTTAAGGAGTAACTAGGGATCTGCATACCTGGCATATGCCCGTGCCCAACAAAAAAATTTAAGGCATGGGTGTGGGCATGAGCACAGGAACTTTGTGCACTGTCTAAAAATGCCAGACACTTTTTTTGGCACGGGCAATAGTGCCTGGCATGGTGCCTGACACAGATAATCTTGCATAAAAATTTATCTTATCTATAATTAGATTAGTTGCACAAATACATATAGAAATAAAAATAACTGATAAAAGAACTTACTTCAACGATACACCAACTGAAATGGTGAACCTATAGTTAATTAAAAAAAAATTTTTTTCTGGTATTTAAAATTTACCATAAATTTTATTGTGTAATACAAGTCACTCTCATTATAGTGAACTCTCAATATAGTGAAGATCTTGATATAGGGAAGAATTTTTTAAATTCATTGGCATTATTATTAACTCTTCACTTAATAAAATAATGTTTATATAGTATTATCTCGATATAAGCTATAGTGAAGATTTTTATTCTCAGCCCAATCACTTCATTATAACAAGAGTGACTTGTATGTTAACTAAAAAGAAATAAATTAGTAAAGTGAAGTGAATCAGCAGAAAACTAAATGATAATTCAGTAGGTTTGTTAGTTTTTCAATAGTATTTTAAGTATTTATACATATTTAGCAAATTATGATTTCTAATAAAACTTTACCCATTACTATAGCAAGACAAATACACTATATAAATCTTTACAACGTTTGTAAAATTGCAAAAAAAAAAAAAAATCTTTTATGATTCGGGAAGAGCATTAAGAGAACTAAATTCATTTTGGCTTTCTAAAAGCCATAAATGCATAAGAATTGTACTTGCAACAGTTTTCTCACTCAATTTTTGCTCTATCATTTGTAATAGTGAACCCAGCTCTCAAAAATGCCCTTTCACTGGCGACGCTTGAAGGTTGAATGCTAAAGTAATCATGTGCCATTCTACTTAAAATTGGAAATTTTTTTGATAATGAATTCCAAATTAAAACACCATTATTTCCTTCTTCTGGAGGATCTTTTTCGTATAACTCTAGCTCATACTCGATTGTATTAGTATTATATTTTTTTGAAATTCGTCTTGGAGAAAACAACAAATTAGATGCAGAATTGTTATCATTAACTTGAGTGGTGGGAAGTAGTTCATTGATAATATTGGTAGTAAGAGGTGATTCGTTAATACTGTTAGTAGTGGGAGGTGATTGTATATTTATGTATTTCCTCCCATATAAGATAATTTTTTGTCTAATATTATCAATAAATTGTTCAGCATTGCTATCACTATACTTCCCAACTTCTATAAATGTTGCTTTTAAATGTTCGAATTTGTATCTAGAATCAAGTATATGTGCAATTATAATATGATCAATTATTTTATTCCAATACTTTTCAAATTTTTTTATCATTAAATGAGTCATATTATTAATATTAATCTTTTTGAGATGTTGTGAAATCTCTAATATTACTGTTATAGCATCAGATATAGAATTTGAATGATCCTTAGAGAAAACCAACATTGCAGATTCAAAGGGCTTAAGAAGTTAACAAACTGATTTTAGATTTATTAATTCTTCTTGGCTTAAACAAGATAATGTTAAAGATTCATTAGCACATATCTCATTAATTGCTGGATATAAAAAAATATATCTTTCGAACATAGCTAATGTCGAATTCCACTAAGTTTCTATTTCTAGTATTGGATGTAAAAAGCCTATTTTAACAATATGACAATATGACTCTAATAGTTCCAAACGACCATTAGATAAAGGATTAGCCAGATATTTCATGATCTTATGTATTTTTTTTTGAAGGTGATTTATTTCTGTTAAGCCTACTTTAACTATTAAATTTAAAATATGGCACATACATCCGATTGATACAATATTCATATAGGGCAATTCAGCTTGAAGAATTCGGCTTACGGCCTTATTAGTCATAGTATTATTCATAATAAGTCCAAATAGTTTTTCTTTAATATTATAGTCTTCTAATGTTTTTAATAGTACTGATTTTATAGCTTGGGCAGTTTGACCTAACTTTTCGAAGTTTAATATAATATTAACTTGTTGCCAGTCATCACTTATTCAGGATCCAGTTACTACAGTATAGTGACATCTGTGAACTGTCAAATGCCACCCATCACATGTTAACGAAATTCGACCTGAAGTTTTTATTAATATATTTTTTATGAACTCTAACCTTTTACTAAATATATTTCCAGATAGATGCCGCGATACTGTAGTTGAGTGTGGGATTTTATATGAATTGGCTACACTATGAAGTTTTTTTACCATATTATGGAATAGTGGATTATCGAGGATGTTAAATGAAATTCCAGTTCCAACAACCAAATCAATAATTGAGTTATTCATTTCATCTTTCATAATTGGTTTAATGAGTCTGGATTTATTATTTTGAGATTCACATATAGGAAAATAAGGGCAAGATGTTGTATGTTGCTTTAGGTGAGTTCTACTGATATTAAATCTATATATTTTTTCTTGACAATGTCGACACTTCCAGGCTTTATTATTATTATTCAATATCATATTCCAATGATCTTTAGTACAATATGTACTATTACTACTACAGGTGTTAGATACAGAGTTATCAGAATTTGTTGAATTATTCGACACAGAATTATTAGACATGGAGTTATTAGACACAGAGTTATCAGAATTTGTTGAATTATTCGATACTGAATTATTAGACACGGAGTTATTAGACACAGAATTATTAGACATGAAATTATTAGACACAAAATTATCATTTAAGTCTTCCATTATACACGATATAAGTGAAAAACAATAATATTTATTAAATTAATACTGAAAATAGAAGGTATATATATACAATTCTAATTATTACTAATGATACTATGTAAAATTATATTTTTTCTTAATTTAATTATTAATTAAAATACAATTACTAATTATTATTTTTATTATATAAAATGCATTACAGAAGCGAGAAATAATGATCTAATTCAACTCTGTATATCTATCATTCAATTACGTAATATAATAGCGTTTTAATTAGAGTATTTTGACTTACTAACTTACTATCTTAACCCATGTTTGGCATTTGCAAAGCTATGCTATTATTATTAGGAAAGCTATTAAAAATATTAATATATAGATCAAATATGAAGCCAAGGTAATCAAGAAATTTGTATTTGATATACATCACATACTATCAAAAATCTGCTAAATTAAATAATCCTTATAAGATTTATCGAGTTAGCCAATTTTATCTTTATGGAATTGGTGTTGAAAAGGACGAACTTAAGGCATTTACTTGGTATGAAAAATCAGGGAACGCAGGAAATAATGTATCAAGTTGTCATGCAAAGCATTCAAGCATTATATAAAATTAGCTGAAATAAATAATTCTATTAGAATCTTTAAAACCACTATTTGTTACTATTATGAATTGGTGTGGAAGAATGGATTAAAAAGTAAGTATAATTTTAATTTTTGCACCAATATTTTATAAGTTTAATGTCACTTATACAATTTAATTATCAGGGAGTAAGAATAAAGGAATTGTTACAGGATGAAATTACAGTTTTACATTTATAACGAAACTTATATAATTTTGAAATACAGGCAATTTGCCAGGGGCTTGCTTATGGTAATTTAGTAAAACTTATATGTTTTTCTTTTATTATGACCTTATGCAGAAGGGTTTATAAGGACTTTATTAAGTTATTTTATTATTACTTATGAATCACTCCTTTCTACAGCAATAAAACATAAGCTTTTTATAACAATTTAATGAAAGGGCTTAAAGAGGAGATCCTTACAACTCTTACTACATCTTGCACATGTTTGCTAATCTCGCACATCATTTCATTTTATTGTTCAAGTTTTTTCTCTACACTAATTTCATGAATCTTCTTCACGTTCTTATTGCTAGAACCTTTCAGCATTAACGTTTAAGCCTCATAGATCGTATGTGTAATTTTACCTTTCGAAAATTATGATCGCCAACCCTGTTTCAAAGATCGATTGATTATTCAGCAGTTTCTTAGGTAACATTTATAAATGCTTTTTTTTTTTTATTTTGTATAAGCTTAGCCCGTGGGTATAAAAAAGATTTATTTATTATTTAGTAAAACTGATGCCACCAGTTTATTAATAGTTATAGACCATGGGTACAGAAAATACCAACATTTGTCCATGAAAAACAAAAAAAAAAAAAGTGAAAACAGAGAAAAAGTATTTTATTATATGATAGATATGGAAATTATCTTGTCGTAATTGTCATAATAAATAAAATATACTACGTATCAAATAAAAGGCTAAATTATATTTTAGCTTTGAGATTTCTTGCATCAAAATATTTCTAAAATTTGAGCAATGTTACATTTTTTTATAGTGATGCTAAACTTTTTGGCATGAGCACGAGCATAGGCATGGGCACTTTGTATCTGGTCTAAAAATGCCAGGCACGTTTGGGGCACTGGCATTGGCATGGCACCAGCACTAGTGCTCAGCATGGTGCCTAATATGCCCAGCATGGGCATTTGCAGAACCCTAGAAGTAATCCTGACTGCAAGTGTTGGCCTCAGCCATAGCATCAAACTAGGTTAACAGTAAAAGGGAATACAGCTCACTCTGGTAGGTTTACCTCAAAGATAAAAATAGTCTAAGAATTATAGTCCTATGGTTGATAGCGAATAGATCTGAGTCTGTGACTTGGTAAAATTAATACTAGGGTTAGATTAGAAGGTTTAAATGGAACACCTAAGCAGAGGTGTTAGATACAGCAACTGGTGAGAAACCCTCGGGCAGACTCCTTAAATAGGTAATATAGAAAAGTTACACGTGTAGCCAGTTGTACATTTGTCTAATAGTTTATTATAAATATGTCTATATAAAACATGTACCTACTATAAGTATTAATAAAAAGCTCGGACCAAAGAGGTCATCTTAATACTGAAAAAAAAAAAAATACATAAAGAGATATTATATTTTATATATTAATAAGATTACAATTAGGAACGGGGTGTGGTGACCTAGTGAAGTGGATAGGTTGTCAACCCCCAAGTGGCAGGTCTAGAGTTCAAATCTCAGTGATGGCGAAAATTTG